TGGGCAGAATTGCTAAAGATTGCAAGTCTCAAGTCCCAACACTTTGAGACCTGCATGTCCCAAACCCAATTCCAAGTCCAGGGAATGTACCTAAGTACTTATTAATTTGAATAGTAAAGCCATCTGTACTTACTTCCCTTTATCATTATCATTGGAGAACAACAACACAATAAATTATTGTGTTGTTGTTCTCCAACCAACCACCTGTGTTGAGACGTATGGAACATCTTTGTGCTACATGTACTTGTTTGTTTATTCAGTTGCATTTATTAATTTATTATTTTTTCTTTGTTTGTTTGTTGTTCTGTTCCCCGTTGTATTAATAAACTACCCTTTCTCTGTGTATTGACTATTGACCAACTAGCTCTACCTTCGATGAGACGTGTATGGAAATCTTTTTGCTGCTTGTTTGTTTGTTTGTTTGTTTGTTTATTTGTTTGTTTGTTCAGTTGTAATTTTGTGTTAGCAGAGAGGCGAGAATAAGTTCTCAAAATGCCAAATTTCCCATCACACTCCCAACAATGAATTCTCACTAGGAATAACAACTTTTCGTACTTCTTGCCGTTGTTGTAAGAAAAGATAAGACATATCAGGGATTTGCGTGGGTCATTCTATATAATGAACGAATTATTTTTAGAGTTCTTGCCATGTTTCTCATAACAATGATTTAATTGACTACCCTTTTTCGTGCAGGGCCTATTTACATGTTGGGCCATTCTACAGCCAGGTGTTCGCCTACAGTTTGGAGCCCTATTTCTAATTACACGTTACGATTGGCCGTACGCCCCAGAAACCTGTCCGGTCGGCCTGTACGTGTAATAATAGGCCCTTTAAACCGGTTTAAGAGAACACTCACTCAATAACTGGAATAAGCTAAACATGTTTGAGGTCGGGGATTCTGATTCGACAAAAGACCCCATTTGTTTTTACTGTTCTGTACAGCCAAGGAAATTTTCCCTTTGGGATAATAAAGTACTATCTTATCTTATAATCCATACCACACTTTAAAAAACCTGCTCAATTTATCGTACATAGGAAGGGCGGCCTATTGATTGAGTAAGCCGTGGCATAACAGCGCAAAACCTGCGCAATCCCCCCGTCCCCCCTTCCCCGAAAAATCATGCAAGTTGGCCGTACGAAAATGTTGGTCTCTTAAAGTTAAAGGTGGCGAAAGTGGGCGTTTGCCATAAACAGATTGGCAATCACTAGTCTAAAGCGTCTAATCTGAATTGATGGGTCGCTGACTGTTGGTTTTTCTTCGAGTTTGAGTAAGAGAAGCACGTCGACATGATAACAACAATCACTGTAGTGCAGGGAAGAAGCATGCCATATAGACAGCGACAACTAGAGGGACAGAAGGAAAAAAAGCAGGATCTACCAGTAGCGCCCTCTAAGCACTCGTTAAGTTTTTCCGCTGGGACACTACTCCAAGGTATCGAATAAGCGCC